TGAAGAAAGTTATAACATCATATAGAGAAGAGAGAAACAATGTGCATTTGCTTTAGCTGTGAGTATGTCAATATAAATTTTTGACACGTGAACAAATATTCAACATTCTTTAAGGTGAATTGTCATTTCGTTATGTAGCATTATTGACAATATTAATAGGATAACTGCCTGAGAAAATTGTTATATTTAAGCTCCTGAAAATCCTCTTGTCCACCACTTTCTTCACATCAAGCTTTGAGGGTTCTTTAGCTCCAATATGTCTTATTCATATAATATAGTATGCATTAATGAAAATTAAAAAACCATTGCTACATCAATAATACATAATAGTTCCACAAAACCTAATTGGGAGTAAAAGAAGCAAAACTAAGAATGGCTAACTTGCTTAATACAAATTTCAAAAACATACTAATTTATAAGATTAGGAGTCAAGACCATGGTTACCTTTTGAAGACAAAGGTGAGTGATAACCTGTTTCTTGGGTGTCAGTAGTGTTTTATTTATTGGTCTGGATAGTGGGTACACAGATTCATTGTATTAATTTATTGCTCTGTCCTCATGGGATTTGTACTTTTTTATGTGTTATAAATCAACAAAGAAGCTAAGAAAAACCTTTATTATTATTATGAAAAAATTCAGAGGTGATTATTAGGGAATGATTTATTAAAATGGGAATGTATCTAGCTAGTTGGTTGGGCTGCATACGACATATTGGAGCTAAAGAAGCCTCAAAGCTTGATGTGAAGAAAGGCAGTGGACAAGAGGATTTTCAGGAGCTTAAATATAACAATTTTCTCAGGCAGTTATCCTATTAATATTGTCAATAATACTACATAATGAAATGTGGTGAAGGCGATCCCCCTCTCAGTGTCTTGACAAAGTCACAGTGAAAATAAGTGCTGGCAAAGCCACTCCCCCACTGTCTTGACAAGGTCACAGTGAGGATGAATGCTGGCAAAGCTATGCTGCTTCTTGAGAAACCGAAACCATGAGACCCTTTTTTTATGTAATTAGGACTTTTCATTTTCATGCTCATGTTCCTGACTGGAGGCATGAGTATGTTAAATGCCAAACCAAATTAAATTTCAGATGGCTAGAACATAACAGGTAGTTCATGCCTTGAAGGCTGTTCTACTACCCCTCAGCATATCAAGGACAAAGTAGAAAGCTGCTCTACTATCTCAACACATTGAAGACAAAACTGATAATGGACAACAATCATTCTCTGAAAGGTCATGAGAATTTTAGGCACCACATTGATTATATCAACTAGAACCCAAGCCCATATTTCTGGTCTTTTAGAAAACCTAATCACTGTGCTCATTATACAAAACCCACCATATGTAGTTTCATTCTTGATTAAAGAAAGTTATGTTATACACTTAGGAAAGTCAAGACATATAAGGGTACATTCTTTTCATTTCTATAAACCCTCTTTTACTTCACATAGGGATTTATAATGAGCATACTTAATATTGGCGGAAAGTGGACTGATGTTTAGAACTTACTTTTTATTGAGAAAGATTATAAAGATATAAGAACTAGTGCACCTTGATTGAGAAATAAAGAAACTCTTTGAGAGAGCAGCTCAACCAGTTTTATGAGAATAAATTTAGGAATTAATTAAAGTAGCTTTGTAAAAGATATTTTTAGAATAATGTTAGAAGTATTATTCTATTTAGATTCTTGGGTTTAGAATTCTTAAGTTTTTAGTTATATGGGTTTCTGATATGTTTTAAGAATGGTTTATAAACTTTAGGATATTTTAAATATAAGATTTAAGGGATCTTTTTAAGATGGGAATTTTAGATTAGAAATAAAAGTGCAGGTGTACTTTAAAACTTAAAGGTTAATGATAGGTTAGGAGACTTAGAGTCTGGTTACGTAGTTTGGCATTAGTTAATAAGAAAATAGTACATCTTGGGAAAATCTGAAAAAAATGTAAATTAGTGATGCATTTTATTAATGATTGATAACTAAAAAGTCACATCCTGGAAAAATGTAAATTGATGTTACATTTTTCTATACCCCTAATTATGGTTAAGGGAATGTTATGTCTTGACAAGGTTTTGAAATTGTATAATCAATGATGTATTATGAATCTATAATGATGAGAAAATTGTAATAAAAGATGACCCAGAGAAAGCTGCATTAGAGCTCTCTCTCTCTGGAGATTACTCCAATGAAACGACTCCTGTCTCATCTTTTCGCTGACACCACTCATCCTTCAGGATCCCTGGACCCTGCTAGGGCTGGACCCCAGCAGAAATGACAATTCATCTTAAAGAATATTGAATATTTGTTCGTGTGTCAAAAATTTATATTGACATACTCACAGCTAAAGTAAATGCACATTGTTCTCTCTTCTCTGTCTGTTGTTATAACATTCTCCAATAGGGTGTTATGTTCACATTCTGTCTAATCAAGGTTATTGTATGTATTTGCTACTGTGCATGGATATTTGATGTTTTTCCAATTCTTGCTGTTAAAATAATGCTGTTATAAACATTCTTGTACATTTTCATACACATTTGCCTGCAAGTTTGTTGAGTATATTCTCAGTTATAGAATTGGCAGGTTATAGGGTGTATGTATTTAAAACAATAACAGTCAATTTCAAAGAACTTTCCAAAGTTAACTTCACCAATTTATGTTCTCACAAACAGTATATGAGATTTCTGGTTGTTTCACATACCCATACAACAGTTGGCACATGCTATTTAATTTTAGCCATTTAGTCATGTTGTATTTGTCTTTTGTATCTTTTTAAAGCTTTCAAATGTGGAGCATCTTTAAAAAGTTTAATGGTATTTTGGATTCTCTCTTTTATGAAGGGTCTGTTCTAGTCACTTGCCTCTGTCATTTCCTTTTAGATTTCTGTTGGGAGATCCCAAGAATACTCTTAGGACATGATGACACTATAAGGACACACAGGCCTCAGAAAATTTGTTTTGTTCACAGTTTCCTTTATTCCAACACATGGATACAGATTAAATTCAGCAAAAGTAAGTGTACCCAGGACAAAGTCTATGAGAAACCAGGCAGAAGCTTCCAGATGTGCTCTCCCAATGGAAAAGCATAGAGATACACTTAATTCTTTCAGCAATGATGTGGGCAAACATGAAAAGTGTTAATCAGCCAGAGGAACTCTCAAGTCCACCCTATCCCCACATCAGGACTAGAGTGACTAGATGCACTAGAGTGAGTAGAGCCAGCTATTTCCTTCTCACACATTGAAAGGTTATTAGTGGAGTTGGATATTTCCCTTCCCCCAGGTTTTAGGCTCTGGCGAACTAGTTTCCCCTGAGATAAACCTTGCTAATTTGTTGTTAACAAAGTGCTCTGGTCTTGGCTTGGTGAGAACCTGGTCAAGCTCACTTGGCTTATAAAGCTCTTGGAAGTGAGACTTAACAAAATATTATATATATATATATATATATATATATATATATATATATATGTATATAAATGGGTTCCCCTGGAGTTTCTGACTCTCAGACTTTGCACACTGAGTCTCTTGCAGTTCATTACTTACCATTCAGATTTTCCTACTTTGGCATTGGTTCTCTATTTATTTCTGCTACCTTGAGCCTCTGCTCAGGTAAGCTGCAACCCCCTGTATTCACCTCTCTCTGACCTTTTCCCCTATGTCTTCACCTTCCTTAAAGATCCAAGAAAAGTTGTTGGTTTTTTAGTGTGTTCACTCTCCTTATGTTGGAACCAGAAACAGGAAGTCTGAATGCCTTTAGGGCCTGCCATTGATACCATTGTTTTGCCACCGCTATTGACAGCATCCTTTAATCCTACATCTTCAGTCTCTTCCCATCTTCTAGTACTCTCCTGAACATATCTATACTTCACTGGTGTTAAGGAAACTCTTGGATCTTTTATGCACTAAAATACATATGTTTTGAGAAACCATACTCAGATCTATTTTCAGAGGAATATACCTCAACGATTGTTACTTTTTACACACACTGTGCTGGAAAGCTAACTTCAGTCTTACTGGGCTCTGTACTTGGGGAAGTGAGGCACAACCCCATATGGTTTCTATGATGTCCTTGCCTCTGGGTCACTGCCTAAAGCAACCAGCAGGCAGCAACACTACACTGAAACCCAGGCCTCTTCTTCTTTTTTTCTTTTTTTTTTTTTTTTCTTACTATGGATTGAACTCAGGGGCACTTAACCAATGAGCCACATCCCCAGCCCTATATTGTATTTTATTTAGAGACAGGGTCTCACTGATTTGCTTAGTGCCTTGCTTTTGCTGAGGATGGCTTTTAACTCATAATCCTCTTGTGTTACCTCTTGAGCCGCTAGGATTACAAGCATGAGCCATGGTGCTGGCCTCTTCTTATTTTTCCCCCCAATTTTTTTCACAGCTAGGAAAGTGTTTTTACTCTCCATTCAGCAGAGAGAAAAATTAGCTTTCATATCAGGTATCTTCCAGACTCTAATTTTATGCATAACATTAGTTCATATTCTTTTGAAGAAAAAAAGAACTTTCTTTAAAAGGTTATCTCTTGCAAAAAAATTGTAAGATTATTGTTTCTGATATTAGGTATTTAAATTCTATTAAGAAACTCAATAGACTGTACTGATATATGTCTACCATTTTCCTTGTAAATATAAATACCACTGATTTAATGAACAGATAGTCTGGGAACAAGGAGAAAATAGACAATTGTTTTATTGAATACTCTAATTTAATATGTGAATAAACATACATAGTAAGAAAAAAAATGATTGGATTCCTTTTTTGGCATAGGGAATTGAAACCAGGGGCACTCCATCACTGAGCTACATCCCCAGTCCTTTTTTATTTTAAGACGACTCACTAAGTTGCTGAGGGTCTTGCAGATTAGTCCAGAACTTGAAATCCTCCAGTCTTAGCCTCCTGAATAGCCAGGATTATAGGCATGTGCCATCACTCTTAGCTTATAATAATTGAATTTTAATAGGAATGATATAAGTCCTTAAACACAGAGTATCATGGTTCTTTATAGATTTTTTTGGATAATATCACGGATTTCATGGTAAACTTGATGATAAGCATCTAATCCATACAAAAAGTCTATATGATTATAGTAAGAAATAGCTTTATGATTAATGAGGTTTGTGATTTCAGAAAGTAAAATTTTAACATCTTCCAGGTCAGCCAATAAGTCATTTCTACCATTCCAAGTTGCAGTTGTCACATTCATATTTGTCACATTGTACAATGGAGAATTTGTCTAAAAATAAATGAATTAAAAAAGGAGTTTTCACAGAAAATGATACATTAGAAAGTTTTATTTATTAAATTATTAAATGATGTTTTAAAATAAATTTAATCTGGTGGATTAAACAGTGAATCTATGGAAGCAACGAGTATGAAAGAACAGATCTTACAATTTTTACTCAGAAACAAGCATAAATCGAAACTAGGTTGTTAGAGTCTGTAAACAAGTCAGGATGGCGCCTAGCAAATGTTAGAGTCTGTAAACAAGTCTGGATGGCGCCTGGCAAAATGCCAGAGGGAGTGGTTTGTGAAGTAACAAAAGCGAGCAATTAAGTGTGGAGATTCTTTATTGGTTAACTGCTGTATCTAGTTTATGTTAATTAGATAAGCTGTGTGAAATGTATAAATACCACTCCTGTCCTACAATAAACGGCTCCCTCTCCTGCTGTATCAACGTACACAAGTTATTCGTCATCCCCCGGTTATTTTGCTGCAGCCGGACTGCGGCACTAGGTAATTTACTTTTTATTTTGTTTGCTTTATAGTAATGGGGATTCAACTCATGGACGTTCTACCACATCCCCAGCACTTTTTGTTTTATTTTGAGACAGGAACTTGCTGAGTTGCTGGGATTGTCCTTGAATCTGTGATCCTCCTGCCTCAGCCTCCCAAATTGCTGGGATTATAGGCATGTACCACAACACCCAGCTAATAGATTGTTTTAATTCAGAATATTCAAAGATTCCACACAGGTAAGTTCAGTATTTCTTGTAAAGCATGGAAGTATCTTGAAGGTATTTGAAAGCATTTCAAATTTTCTGTGACTGTATTACTGTCTATATGTTTATTAATAAATTATAAATATTGGCAACCAAGGTTAACTCTAATCCCATTGAATTTGATTTTAAGATCTTACTTCAGACTTTTTCATATGAGCAGATTATATATGGCCCAGAATTTAGCTGAGGCAGAAAAGTGTAGTAGGGAAGTAGAAACTTTGAAGTCAGACAAGCTCAGTTTCTAATATTTCAAAAATTTTGTCATCACACTTACACAATTTTTACCATGTTCTCATTGAATTCTAAGTTATTTCTAATTATTATATGTATTTGTCCTGTATTGCCAAATAGAAAAACTGGTTTTAAGGTCAAGAAATATATTATGCATTTTATCTCATATTTACCAAGTACAGAGTTGTGCAAATTATAAATAAAATAGTTTTCCAGACGAAGGATGATGAATTCTTCTACTACTGTCAACTTCTCTAAGTTTATCCAGGGTATTTCCTATTAAGATATGTAAAAGTATGGAAAAGCTGCTTTGGTTGGATATAACAATATGATTCCAAAACAATATGATTTTCACTTGCTGGTCTCACTATGTAATAATACTCTGCAGATTCACAGACGACTCTTATCTATAAGAGGGTCATCTTAACAAAATGGGAAGGAAGATGGTTTTTAGAATATGCATAATGACATACTTGATTAAAATGAGGAAAATTCAAAACAGGACTGCCCCAATCATAAGCTTTCAAGTGGTTACAATGAAGAAGCTAAAAGAAAAACAAAAAGAAGAAGACCATATATACTTGCTCATTATGGTGGCAGTTGATGTAAATTAAGGCATGTATTGCATGATTCCCCTTTGTACTGGGTCTGCTGGTATTTATGCAGGGGGGCTTCTTCCCTTCTCCCTTCCTTTGTTTAGTGTAAGAAATGGAAGGGGTGGAGATGGGGGCAGGAAATCTAAAGATGTGAGTCTATCATCTTCACACAAATGCATGTGTCCCCAAAGTCTTTTACTTCCCCAAAGGGGCCTATGTGTTTTGAGTAATCTTAGGTTTCCTCAAAAATCCTCAGCTTCATCAATAGAGGTCAAGAGTGAGTGCCTTGCATTGGGACTGTGACACCTCTCTAAACAACCTTGCCTCAACCAACAGGACTCAAGAGTGTGTCTCAGAAGCTGTCCCTTCCTTCACTCCTAAACACTCTTAACCTCACCATTAACACTGGCTTTGAGTCTATAAGATTCAATTTGATTATGCTTACTTTCTCTTTGTGTTTTCATTACAAGAAGGTCACACTCTCAGGCTACTTATGATCTATGGATTTCTAAACCTTATATGGCTCCATATAATCCTTATTCTAATTCTTCCCAACTCTCTTTAACTCCTAAAACTCTTATTATCTGGAATTCCATCATCACCTCTGTATCTTAAACCTCTCACTGGCCTCTTCACCTTCCTGCTCTACTGACAATCTGTTTTTTTCCTGAGAATGATGCTTCCCTCATAGCTCCTTCAAGTGGTGCAACTTTTTTCTCCCATATACCTGGGTTCACTGGACCTGAGTGTTAGTTAATCCTCTTTGTTCATTATTTCTTCTTTTAAATTATTCTCACTTCCTCCTCTCTAAGAAGTTTCCTCCAAGCTCTGAATATCATACCATTCAATTATATTACTTACTTTTTTTTTTTTTGCTGTTGTGATCATCTATTAAACTACAGGTTGTTCTGCCTGTTTAGTTCCTGCTTACTGTTACTCCCTCTGAAACTATTCCTGCCTTCAGTTTTAGCGATTTAATCTTTCTCACAACCGCATTTTAATTCCTTGAGCTCTTCACCTCAATGATCTTGTCCCCCATCTTATACTAACCATTCACCCTGTGACCTTATCATAAACCTTTATAATACTTCAGTCCTTGCATACTCTAATTTTTATCCATTCCATTTTCTAAACATCACCTAATTCTCCCTGACATAGCAATGTCAAAAATTCTTCAACATTGCCAAGATTGTGCATCCATTCATCCTTTCAACCTTTTATTATATCTTATTCCTTCAATATACTTTCTTTCCTTCTTATCCAGCTGAAATTCCATAATCAATCATTAAAATGACTCACTTATATTTACTCAACACTTTTCTACTTGCATTGCATCATCCTACTTGCTTCACACACAAAAAAATTGTAGAAAAATCCAATTCCTACACACTATATGCCTATACTAATGAGACTGAACAAAACTGGAGGAAAAAAAAAAACTAAGCACTACGCTTACTGAAGTCACTTCAAATTGATGATTGCACACCTCATGCAGGCCATTAGTCTTGCCCAGCAACCATACCATAATTCCCTCATCCATTTCCTTGTCCATGCTTCTGGGCAATTATGTAATACCTTCTCTTTGCTCCACTGACTTCTACTTTCTTTTCTATCCATACTCTATTTTATTAAAATGCACTTTCCCATTTTGACAAAAAAACTGCAGCAATCATAAAAGTTCAGAGACTTTTACTACATCAATATACTTACCAGCAAATAAAAAAGGGATATTATCTCTGTTAGCTCAAAAGCTTATCTATTACTTGTCTACTAGATGACATCTATCCTAGAATTCCATCTCTTTCTCTCTTCATAAAATTTCTCCTCTTTAGTAGGGCATTTTCATTAATGTAAAAACCTGCTGTTAATTGTCTCAGAAGATAGATTCACTTCCCCATTTCCTACCACAGCTCTTGACAAATATTTTTATTCTCCTTTCAGCAAGATTCTAGAGAAGGGTTTTCACCATCTCCACTTTCTCTCATTAATCATCTTTTTAAAGATTGTAGTAAAATACACATAAAATAAAATTTATAATTTTAACCATTTAAAGTGTGCAACTGAATGTCATTTGTCAAATTATTGGGCAATCATAATAACAATCATTTTAAAAATCCAATCTAAACAGTCTTACATCTCCATCCAGTAGTATGCTAGAACCAGTTTCTATTAATAAGATCTAATTATGGGCATCTTTTCCCAACTTTAAGTACAGTGGTATTGCATTGGTTGGTTAAAATCAATCATGACAGGAATAACCTCACCACAGAAATTGACAAATGTTACTTATGTCTCCACCCCCACAAGTTATAAAATATTTACCAGCACACACTACTTAGATCCTTCCACCAAAAGTGTTCGAGATAATTTATAACCTTAACATTTATAAAAGCTTCTGTCTTTGAGGTGGCCTGAAGGAAGTGAAATGAAACTTAGACAACTTTCAAACCCTGACTGGATTTGACCAGGAGTTCTCTTATGTTAAGGCGAGCACAGCTTTTTCCTAAAATGAAACCAGGATTTCACTTTGACCCTTCCGGACTTCTGCAAGCTCAGAGAGAGGATCACTAGGCAATGCTGAGCTGACGTGGATCTGGGGCGAACAGTCTGGGCCTCTCAGAACACACACGGAGCCCGGATCGGCTGAATTCAAGCTCCCTTTCGCCTGCTTCTCGCAGACAAACTGCTGTGACTCAGCACTAAACGATCCTGCTGAAACAATTGGTCGGCCCTTCTGAAACTACAGAGGTTAATGCCAACCGAGCCTTCATAGGCAGTGGTCACAGGATTGAAATGGGGCTTCAGAGAGCCAGTCAGGACCCACCCGTTGCATTGGTCACCCAGCAAAGGGAACGAACTGTCACCATTTGCAAGGGATACCACCATGGCAGAGAACTGACGTCACCAGAATGCGGCGGAGGCGATAACTCCATTGAAACCAGCGGCAACAGTGACTTCTTCCCTTCCCTTCTAATACCTTTCCTCCCAAGCATCAAATGTATTTACAGGTGTAAACAGTAACTCAGCAGTCAAACAGAACAAGAAGTAACATGAGCAGCATGAAAAAGCAAGGAAGAAAAGGAGTACAAACAATGCAGGACAGCCTAAATATTCAGGAGGACCTAGAGGCATCAGAAAAATGGTCAAATAAAGAACTCAAGGAATACCTTAGACAGATGGAATGGAACCTTAAAGAGGATATGAGACAGCAAATTCAAACAGTGAAAGAACACATTAAAATGAATTACATAAACAGATAAAAGAAGAAATTAAGCATCTTTATCAGGAGATAGAGATTATAAAAAAATCAAACAATAATTCTAGAAATGAAGGAAACTATAAACCAAACTAAAAACTCAAATGAGAGTATCACTAACAGAGTGGAGCAAGTAGAAGCCAGAACGTCAGATAATGAAGACAAAATATATCATCTTGAAAAGAGTCTAGCCAACTCAGAAAGGCTGGTAAAAAATCATGAGAAAAATATTTATAAAAGCTTGGTCAACTCCAAGGAATTCTGCTGTATTACTTATCAATGTCATCTGATACTGTTGTTCATTCCTTCATCCTTGAGATACTTCCTTAACTTCTAGAATACAGTGATCTTCATGTTTCGCTTACTGCTTCTTTTCAGTCTCCTTGGCTGATTTAGCCTCTGCTAAATCTTAATCTTCAATAATTTGGCACTCAATCCTTGCTCCTCATCTCTATCTATACTCGTTCTATTGTGTGCTCATCTAGTCTTTCAACTTTACATGCCATTTATATTCAAAATATTCATCTTCTTTTAATAAGTATCACCTTAGTTCTATATTGCTATATAAAACTGCTTAATCATATTCGTTGCTTGGCTGTATAAACTTAACAAACAGAACATTTTACCTCTCCTCCAACTCCACTCTACCATCGAATCTCCCTATATCTTTTAAGAGTCACTTCATCTTTTCATTGCTTAGGTCGAAAACTTTAGAGTCATCCAAGCTTCTCTCCTTTTCTTTCACTCCTCACAGAATCCATGACTGTATCTCATCAGCTGTATGCACATGATATGCATGTGGATGCTCATAATTCAACCATTTTTACAACCTCTGCTGTCAATACATCAGTCCAAGCCATCATTATTTCTTCTTTGGACTACTGCAGAAGTTTCCTAACTTTCTCACTGCTCCCACCCTTGCCCCACTACAGTAGACTCAACATAGCAGCCAAAGTGATCCTGTAAAAGTATAGCTCATTGAGTGTCACCTGTTGATGAAAAACTTGCAGTGGCTTCACACAGGGTGAATGCCAAAGTGTTTGCAATGATAGATTTCTTTGCCTTTCTTTTCTACTACTTTCTTACTTACTCATTTCAGAACTGCACTTGTTTCTTAAGTGTGCTTCTCTTTGGCTATTCTCTCTCTCTGTAAACCCTATCCCCCATGCTATGATCTAAATGTTTATGTCCTCCCCAAATTCATATGTTGAAATTTTAACCACCAAGGTGATGGTATTAGGTGGAGACCTTTAGAAAGTGATTAGGTTCATGAATGGGATTAGTGCCCTTATAAAATAAGCCCAAGGAGACTTTTGCCTCTTTCACTATGTGAAGAAACTACTAGAAAATGCATCTCTAATGGAGAAAGCAAGCTCTCATCAGACACTGAATCTGCCAGTATCTTGATCTTGGACTTTCTAACCTCTAGAACTGTAAGAAATACATTTCTTCTGATTATAAACTACCAAACTTACTCTAGTTGCATTAATGGACTAAGAAGACATTTCATATTGTCCATGTTGTCAATTCCTTCACCTCCTTTAAATCATTTTTCAACTGTCATCATCTTACTGAGGCCTCTTAGCCTAATCTCTCTGTTCAAATGTATAATCCACTTATAAGAATGCCTAATCCTTTTCTCCTATTCCTCCCCCTACCCCATTTTCCTATGATGTCTATCCCCTTCTATCAT